AAAAAAAAAAAAAAAAAAAATTCTATTAAAAAAAAAAACAACCTAAAAAAAAAAAAAAAAAAAAAAAAGCTATAAAATTTAAAAAGATTTAATCTATATTTTTAAAATATAGTATGAAAGCTTTAAGTTTGCTTAGTATCTTAAATCTGATTTAAAGATAAAATAATCTAAAGCTTTTGAAAAAAGTATTATAATACGTATAAATAAATTTTTTATTTAATTGATAGTTGGTATAATAATTAATGATTTTCTTTGGAAGATTAGCTATATTATATTTTCTATAATTACAGAATCTATAAAATTTTTTTGACTAGTATTGCTAATTCTATAGACGATTTTTATGTTATAAAATTTAAAAATTACATGTATTATATAACGATAAAATATAATATAAATAGTATTCTAAAAATAAATAATCATTTTGAAGAATAAAATTTATTTATAAATATATTTGCGTATTTAATAATTAGCTAAAATTTTGGGTTTAGATCAATATCCCAAAGATCAAAATCTTAAAAGTACTAAATCTCAATATACTAAATCCTAAAAGAATAAAATTCCAAAAGTATAATATCCTAAAAATTAAATCCTAAAAAAAAAAAATCTTAAAAATTATAATATAATTTTTTGAGTTTTTTTTTTTTATTTATACTTCTGGGATTTTATTCTTTTAGGATTTAGTGTATTGAGATTTAGTACCTTTGAGATTTTTGATCTTTGGGATATTGACCCAAACCCTAAAGTTTTTATAGTGCTGGCATATAATATTACGTGTAAAATTTATACGTATAAACTTACATAAATGTAAAATTGTAATTTCTGTAACACAACCCTACATCGAGGTCACCCTACTTGGTTGTGAGTAAACCGCCGGCTTAGCCAATTAAAAATTTCTATTCTTTACGGTAACTTACCTGGTAATTTACCAACATTTAGCGTTAGAGTAACTTACCAAGAAATTTCTAAATTACGGTAATTTTACAACCCTGCTTGGATCACTCTTGGATCACACCTCTAATATAGATGTGTCAAATCTGCCCGACTTTTTTGTCAAATGTTGCCCAAAAACAATATTTAAGCTGGCCAAAAAATTCACATCATACAAATAGATTATCGGAAAAAAAGTATAAAAAATGAAAGATCATATTTTTGATCTCCCTTTTAATCTGTCGCTTTTCGCGAGCGAAGTGAAATACATCATGTTAGTGAATTTTCATCACGTCATATTAAACAAAACATTGTATGCACATACATCCACTTTGCCTTGATTGCCTTTTAACTTTTTCTTCAATAGTGAAGACGTCTAGGATTACCAAATCCGATAAAGGTCTTAAACATTAAATAAAACTAAAATGCCACCTTTGGTAACAGACCGAGATGATGAGGCCGAAGTTGAGGACGCTCTTGAAACTGGAGCACAAGAAGAAGTTCATATTACTTCTGATACTCCTGCAAAGGGCGCAATGGTATGTAGTGTTTTTTTTGGTTTAGCGAGTCTATAATGGCTCCAAAATTTTTTTTATCAAAAAAAAAAAAAAAAAAAACCATGAATTTATGGAATGGGAAGAACAACTGTGAATATATATTTATTCGGAAATATATAGACTGTTGAAGATGCTCTCAAAGATGTCTTAAAACGTGCACTTGTCGTTGATGGTTTGGCTCGTGGACTAAGAGAATGTGCTAAAGCTTTGGATAGGTAATTGATCGAAATTCTGGGGTATAACACTGAAATTGAAATATGACTTTTTAAATCGAATCTTTCTTAGACGCCAGGCTTTCCTATGCGTTCTTGTCGAAACTTGCACCGAAAAGGAATACATCAAGCTTGTCGAAGCCCTTTGCACTGAACATAATATTCAATTGATTAAAGTTAGTGACGCAAAAAAACTTGGTGAATGGGCAGGTCTTTGTAAAATTGATCGCGAAGGGAATCCTCGTAAAGTGGTTGCCTGTTCTTGCGTTGTTGTTAAAGATTATGGTGAAGATTCCGAAGCTAGGAACGTGTTAATGGAGTATTTTAAATCACGTTAAGACTAGTTTGGAAAGTATTTTTCTTCATCGATGTCATTAGAGAAATTTGTTTGATATTATAGAGATATTTCTTTGTGAAATGCTTACAAATAAACTCGAATATTATATTTACAATTATGTTTATTGATACTTGCTACATGAATTATAAATATATTAGATTCTTTGAATGACTCGAAAATTACAGGTTTTTTATTTGAAGTCTTTTAAAATGTAGTTTATATATTATTTTTATTATTCAATTGCAAAACAATATTACCGTAATGCATTCGATGATTATTATGATTTGATTTAAAACAGCGATAAAAAAAATTTAGATAGTTTGTTAGGTGAATTTTGACATTTCCAAACCAATCCTGATTTATATGAATAAAGTATTGAAATCAAATTAAAATGAAATAAACTCAATTGAAACTATGTATCGTGGTAAAATCATTGAAGTGTATTTTAGGTTTGAATTAGGATTTTAAATAGAAGAGTGTAAGGAGCTCAAAAGAGGCCCAAAATTCATTTTAATCTGATTTTATTTTATTATGATATTATTTAAATATACTGGTATAAATTTTGATGAAGGTTTCAAATTCGAATATATTATACCTTCGAAAGAGTATCATCACAAGTTTACCGGTATATTAAATTTTATTTAAAGACAATTTTTGGACAAGATATTCTACAATTGTGATAACTTCCGCCATTGCGCCCACACCTATTTTATTTACATTAATTTAATTTAAAAAGAGCATTACAACAGCAATACTAAAAGGCTTGGAATTAATAAATACCTATATCTCCACAAGCCAACTTTTTAGACACAGGAGAAATAACTTGATATCCTAGTTGTTCATTCAAGACGCGTAAATGTGTTGATGTAAATGGATGATCCCACATAAATGTGTTCATTGCTGGACATACGATTACTGGACGTTCCACATCCCAAGCTCTTAGTATACAAGTCTTTGTAAATGAATTTTGTGAGATTAGAATAAGGTTTTGAGACAAGAATAATAATAAAATTTTAACTAACAATAAGATTATCACATAATCCATTAGCTATTTTTCCCAGTGTATTTGCATCAAGTGGAGCAATCACGAAAATATCCGCCCAATTTCGGTACTAACAATTTAGCAAAAGAATCACGAAAACTTTTTTTAGTTATGAAAAAGATAAACAACAATAATAGGTTTCATCAATAATCACCTCTATGTGTAAAACTGGATCTGATATTTTACTCCAGGCCTATTAAGAACTTAACAATTATTAGATATATAAAATAGAGAATATAGAATTCAACTATTGACCTTCCATTCATCAGCGTCAGTTGTGACTTCAACACCTGATTCCTTTGTTAAAGATTCCCTATTAAAAAAATGTAAGGCATTATCTGTTGATACGACTTTTATTTCGACATTTTCGTACTAGAGTATACAAGGTAAAATAAGCATTTAAACCTTCTAATATATATATTATGAAAATAAAAATAAAAAAATGAGAAACCTGAAGAAGTGATCGTACTAAAAGCGGTATTTTAATACTTGCAACACTACCTGTTGCTCCTATAAGAATATTAATTTTCGGTCGAGACATAAAACAAAAGTCACGTTCTTGGAAGTTGAATAAACATCATAAATTCATTTGATTGGCTGTCGACCATTTGAGAATTGTATTGGCTGCTTATAGAATAAAATTACAGTATATATACTGTGTAAAAAAATTTTTTTATTCAAAATTATCTGATTTTGATTACAGAATTAGATAATTAATAAATTTTCGAACCAAATCTTTTTTAGCAAGATGGAACGTACCTATATTATGGTTAAGGTATATATTTCTTGAACAAAACTTTAAAAAAAAAGATATATTGTATTTATTCAAAATGTTCATAGCCCGATGGCGTTGAGCGTGGTTTAGTTGGAGAAGTTCTTAAACGTTTTGAAAACAAGGGGTACCAACTTGTGGCTCTTCAACTTCTTCCGGTTGGTATTAGTTTTGTAATCATTTGGCTACTTCATAACCTATTTTAAGCCTGATTTTTATTTTGGTTGGAACAAGACATCCAGAGACCTCTTAAACCAACATTATTGCGACCTAAAAGACAAACCATTCTTTCCCACACTCATAAATTGTACACTTTTTATTTATCTTAATTGACTTTGTTTGTAAATTTAACCATGGTAATATTCTTAACTATATTTTGCTTACGTTAATGGACAGACATGTTGTCTGGACCCGTAGTTGGTATGGTATGGCAAGGGAAAGACGTTGTTAAAACTGGTCGTCGTCTCCTGGGTGAAACAGATCCTTTGAAATCTGTCCCTGGTACTATCCGCGGTGATTTTTGCATCGAAGGTATGTATTTATTGTTGATTGGTGTCCTTTTCGTCCTCGAAAAGAGTGATTTATTAACGCTATTCGTTCAATTTAGTGGGTAAAAATCTCTGTCATGGGTTTGTATGCGTGAATCTTTTTTTTTTGTCTTTTCTTTACTTCTTTATCAAATAAATATATATATTTTTAATCACACTATTGTATTTTATAGTTCTGATTCAGTTGAAAGCGCCGAAAGAGAGATAAATCTTTGGTTCCCTAATGGTGTTGTTTCGTGGGAACGTAACCATGTCCATAAATTAATCTACGAATAAGTAAACTATTTCTTCGTGTATAATAATCTTTGAAAAGATTTATTAGAATGAAAATAAAGTAGATTGGAATTATTTAACTATTCATGCTTCAAAAATTATTATTTAATTTTTTCGGCTTAAACGATATGGCTTTCATCTAACTTTAGGATTTCATGGCAGTCGAAAGTATGTACTTTACAAATAAATTTTACATTACAGAAGTATTTAGGTTCCGCAAGTACCGGGCATGGTATTATTAAAACATAGCGTCAGTGCCTGTGCCAAGCACCGTTTAGTAATACCGAATGTTCAGCCCATCACAGTACTCGTTATTACAAATGCTATGTATTTCCTCTGCTTCAAAAATTAAATCCTTACCGGTATTCACATAGCTTCAGCTTTACTATTTGGATCTAAAGATATTCAGTGTTTTTTATACATTGTATAAGAGGCTGAAATTTGTTATCAATCACTCAGATTTTTCTTCACGATGGGCTTTAGAATGTTTACTTATCTGCAGAGGCATTTATTGCTAACTCATGTTGGTTTAGTTTTAATAAATCTAAACCTATGTAGCTCCCATGTTCAGGATTATGATCCGCATAATCAAGGTTG